AATTTGTTAATTTATTGGTTTAAATCTATCCATACATGTGTTTGATCTTTGATTTATCTCATGTTTTTATGCTTAAAAATTAATTCCCCATTCTAAGGTCAGAAAAATCTTTTTTTTAATTAAAAAATTTGCCTCTTGGGGCCGGCCCGGTGGCACACTGCTACAGTGCACTGCTTGGGAGTGCGGCGGCGCTCCTGCCGAGGGTTCGGATCCCACATACAGACCGGTTCCCGCTCACTGGCTGAGCGAGGTGCGGGCGCGGCACCGAGGGTTGCGGTCCCGTTGCCGGTCCCGGTCTGGTGCGGGCACGACACTGAGGGTTGCGATCCGATGCCGGACACGAAAAAAAGACACACACAAAAAAATTTGCCTCTTTAATCCTTCTCCAATGTATTTTTTCCTACAGTAAATGATTGTATACATGTTTTTTTTTTAAAAAAACCAAACCAAACCAAAAAAAGGATTTTTTTCTTCCCAGCTTATAACACTATCTTTATAATATATTAGATTCTTATATAGAAAGAGACATTTTCTGGGAAACTTGCCTTTATTGTTATTATCTATTGAAAACTATGCTTGACTTTGTTGTAGACTGAGGAACCCCTATAATTTTCCAACCTAGCATTTCTTTGATTTGAAATTGTCAGCTTGACCCTCATGGAATTGTTCTGTCTCTTCAGACTATAGCTAGCAGAAGTGTGATAGTGACTGAAAATATTACCCCTTATTCAAGTTGTTTAGTCTTCTCTACTGTAGAATGCTATGTTTCTCCCTGTGGGAGCTAGCAATTCATTCAAGAGTTTCATTCATCTCTACTTGCTACAAATAAATATTTGATCATTCTTCAAGTAGTATTTGAACATCATTTACCCTAATAGGCTAACTAATGATTTTTCTTCTTTTCTCCTTCTTGGATTTAATTCCCTCCCTCCCTTCCCCATATGTATTTGTGGAGCACCTACTATGGGTCAGGACTGACCCTTCTTGTCTCTGGGAATCCAGTAGTGAGCAAAATGGACAAGTTTATTATATTTTAGAAGGAAGAGGACACATAATAAGATAAAATATATGATATATTAAATGAAAGAGCTAAGGGCGAAAAATGAAGTGGGAAGGGAGAGAAGTATCTGGGATGTAGGTGTCATATACTTGTATGTACCTTAATTAGCAAATGCCTTTCTGAGCAGGTGACTTTTAAGTAAGTGTTACAAAGTGATACTGAATTATTCTTAATAGTAGATGTGTCTGATTCTAAGAAACTCAGATTCTTTCCACACTTCTTTAATCAACCCTCTGAATCATTTTAGAATTATGATTATAAGTGTCCCTTCCATTTTTGACTTAGGATCTCAAAGTAAAGCAATCAATAGAAGATTGATGGTAGGGAAAAAATAAATTTTTAGGTAGCAAAAGTTTTCCATCATGTATCTTCATGGTGAGATATTTTTAAATAAGTAAGTTACTTTCCTAGCAGAAAAATGGCACATCAGCATTATATATATAAAATAACTTCCTACCATCTTTCAAGAAAGCACTGTAACATAGTAATCTATAATAGGTATTGGATTTATGCACCTGGGTTGAGATCCTGCCCCCCCCGCAACAAACTAGCCTATGACTTTGAGTGACTCACTTGAGTTCTGAAGCCCTGTTTCCTCATTTTGCAGAGTGAGTTAAATTAATTCTCTGTCTAAAATATAGAAACTGCTCAAAAATTTGTGTTCTTGTTTTTTTATTTTTTTTAAGAAGATGGCCAGTAAGGGGATCTTAACCCTTGACTTGGTGTTGTCAGCACCA